ATTATTATTATTATTATTATTATTATTATTATTATTATTATTATTATTAATATTTACACCACCACTGCCAATGAATAAATAGCAATCAATTTAATAACATCTTCAAAAAATGCTTCGCAATCTTTCATACAAAAATAAATGAACAAATCAATATTTCGCAAAAGATTATTAACGAGAAAAACAAGCCTTTTTGAGATATCTTCGGATGGTTTTCAATGCAAAATGCTTGTTTCCTAGCAACATTTCAATATCATTTTCAAAAATCGTGTTTTTCAGCTGTTTTTTCACAACTATTGTAACAACACAACCTATTGTGGATTACTCACTGACGAGTACAATGATAACAGGCATTATTTAATGATAATGATTTGGATATCTGATTGCAACATTTATTCTTTGAGAGATCATTTTATAATAATATTCGAATTATTTTATGTGAAATGATATATGAATAAGATGTGTTAACATCTGCTACATGATTCGCCATCGTAATATCAACATTCCTTTGCAAACCTTTCGATTCTAATTTCTTATCAAATTTTCATAAGTAATCTTTGAAAGTGCTTAATATTAGCATGGAATGGGAAAAAGAATAGAATTACATCCCATTACTTCGTCCGGAAACATTCTTAGTATTTGGCACTTTAAATCGTTTCGTTCACAAGCTCGTAATAAGTATTTAGTGGCGATAGCAGTGCAGCTGGGTGTGTGGGATTCCCCCAACGGAATTGAAAAATGAACTGGCAAGGAAGTTTTGTTCTTTAAATATGCATTTTCACTGTTTACCAAAACACATTATATATATGTATATATAATCACCAAGTAACTTTGTGATGAGGAGAAGGCCTTTTGATAAATAATTGTGAGCGTCGAATTTTGATTTTAAGAAGAGATATTTGTAAAATCTTCAAAAGTATGGGAGAGATTTTAGTGTAACAGGATCTATAATCTTTGGCACATTTTGCACGGCAATAAATTAAAAGAGAATGAATGCAACACTTCCAGTGTCAAAAGAAATGTTTCCGAACAGAAGAAATTCTTTACTGCATGAATCACCCATTAATTTTTTTGGACGTAGAAAAAACAAGAACAGATGAATACTCTCTCTCTCGCATTCAGGAAAATTGTGACTCATTTTAACTTTCTTCATCAATTTGATGGTGAATAATGGGATAATCTTAATTGTTTCACAGAAATGATAATGCATGATACGCTAGAAGATCTGACTATTTTGTTGGACATTGATAATACTTCACGAAAGCCACTCAATAATCACTCATTAATATGATTATGTATAGAGCTTTGAATACTAAGTAAAATGACTCAATCCTAGTTCATACGACTAACTTATTTACGAGATTTATTCAGAAAATTTGAGCAGTTTTATATTTCATCTAGTCAGACTGCTGTTCAGTGATTATAAATAAAGAAGAGCCAAACAGCAGTGTGCACCTACTCGTTATTAACAAATGCCAATTTAAAACAAGAAAAAAAATATTGACAAGTGTTCACCTGGACGCATGCAAGCTTTCTATTTCAATTATGCGTTGTTGGCATATGAGGGCGACGTGTAGTGATAAGAAGCCCCATCAGATGCCATGATCGACTTGTGTTGATTATCCCCTGAGATAGTTGCTATCAGCAAGAGCAATCTTCCAAAGCAAGTTAAAACAGGAAAACCAAAAAAGGATCTGAGAATATGAGCGAGAAATGATCAAGGAAATGTATTGACAAGTTGTGTCTACAATGATGGCAGGAAGCAGGGATGATGACCCCCTTAGTAAACTAGTTAACTGGTATTGCGCGGGTTACATTGAAATGGACAAAGAAGGAGGGAATGGGGAAGCAAAAGGGTTGGATGGACAAATAGGTGGATGGAGGAATTGCCTGAGGGAAGCTTCTTGATGAAGTGAGCAAATGCAACTACTAAAGGCGGAGCAAATCACAAAACCATAGACACGACCAGGAGAGCTTGCTACTCCCTGATAGGGATGATCCGTAAGGGTGTGGCTGAGGATGGGTGCAAATCGAAGACTGATCGAAGATTTTTTTTTAACCTGCTGAGAATTTGCATTTTTGAAAGTGAACATATCTGGGCACTTCGGTAAGTTCAATTATTCTTTCCAGTTATAGGAAGGAGTCGTTGCTGAAATAACTGCCAGTATCCATCCCTGTTTCGTCTCAGTTACATCAAATGGAGAATATCATTTCCGAGTTGACATTTCAAGCTTCACCTATGATATTTTTTGTTTTAATCATTCCTCAAAAAAGTTAAAGCTAGATTAAGTCTAATTAAGACATGCACGTGAAAAATTTTGCCACCGATTTCAGCTATTTCTATCAGTAACGATGGGTAGAAGTAAAATTATCACGAGCAATCAGCATGTGGTAGTATACGTCTCCTAAGCACTACTTAACACAAAATAAATTGGTAAGAAACGAAAAAATACTGAATTCCAATCTCTTTTCCATCCCTGCTTTTATCGGTTCATAAAAAATAGCTCATGAGCTTTTACTACTTCAGTTCTATCAGTATCAGTCACATGCTAACCGCAACCATCATTTATATAATCACTTCCACTCAGCTATACGTATTTAATGATTAGCGCTTCGGAAAGAGTACAAAACTCATCTGATAAAAACTTGTTGATATATTATCAAAATGCGACCGGGAAAAAAATCAGTTATCTCAAGTAGCTTTAGGTTAGGAAAATAAGCGGAAGATTGTCGAAAAATAAGCAAATAATAGAGTCGGAGGTTTCGAAAGGCCAGTAACTGATCCATCACAGTGCGCATTCCTCAAAAACTCTCCATTTCTCCGCTATCCTAGCTGCCCTTCTCAATCTCTAACTCTCTTAAATATCTCGTAGTATTATGCAGATGAGGACTCAAGAAAGGGTGCTTATATAGTGTCCTGTCCCTATGAGTACTACAAAGTCAGGATATAAAGTATAGGAGCGAGAGAAATTAGAGAGAATCGTGCTCCATAATACAGAGAACTGAACAAGAGATTGATGGTTAAGAAAATAGTGTGCTTATGTAGGATGATAAATTTGCACAACGCTCGCCGGCTTCCTCTCCCATCATTCTCCCATGTTCTGATCATTGGATTGAAATTGAAAATCAGACTGTGTTATCAGTTAGCAGTTCAGTTACGCTGCACGTGTCACGTACCACTTGCTATGTATTACGTAAGGGTTGGTGGAATTGCTTGTGTTCAGTATGAAGCTGAGTGGCGTGGAAGTGTTGACATTCAGGGCAGGGATGACCACTTTATAATTAGAAATATGAATTATCTCTTCAGCTATGCACCGCTTTAGTAGCTTTCCATTGAATGTCTGTTGTGGGGGTCACTATTTCTGATCATATCTGAGCAATTTTGAATGATTTGGAAAGGTCGCAAGAGGTTTTCTTCCAAAATTTTCTTTTAACTCACTTTGTTTCACTTTAGTATTTCCACTGACTGTTATTTTAGATTATGGAACGGATGAGTTGATGAGTGATTAACAAGTACACATACAAAAACAGTTGAAAATGCTGATGCGCTTAGTCGCTCCATTTTCGCTCGGGTAAGTTATTCTTCACTTTATGTGTTTAAATTCTGCAACCACAATTGAATTGGATTTTGAAAAGAAACGAGGTCCAGCCAATTTAATAAGAGATACTTTAAGACAGATACGGGTATTTTTCGTCACTTGTTAATTCTAGTTTATAATTTAATAGTATCTTTAATCACTCCGAAAAAAGGAAAGGAAGTGAAACATAATCCAGATAAGCATACAAATTAAACATATGCTTTGAAGAGAATTTTATTCTCAGAAGTCTATTCGCTGCACTCAAAGGTCGCCGAGATGGGAAAATCCAGGATTCTGTTCAAGCCATCACGATGCTCAACCAAAATAAAAACACTAAGGCGGCTATGGAGTATCTCGAAATAACAAGTTGCATTTTTTAACCATTGTAACCATTGACGGGTTTGAGAGATAAATGAAAAATTCACACAGAATTCACATTTCAGAAGCGGACGTCGAATTGTGCATCCTGAATACGCAAGCTCGATTTCGCCTTGCGTTGCATGGTAGCCCATTATGCAAGCGAACTGCTACTACATCAGCTGCAAAATCCATCAAATCAGTCGGGATTTTGGAAGATGCTATAAAACGGGTTAGAAGTCTTTATTCCTACATCATACCGCGAACTATTCCGCTCCTTAGAAATAGGAGTTGAATTTTTGCATTTGTTATGTACTTCAATGAAGAACTGCGAAGAGTTTGCAGCTTGTAATCGATGACGATTGGGACGAAACTGTGAAATGGTTAATTCCGCATATGTACGATGAAGATGATCCTTCATCTTATAAATACTTTCTAAAAAGGCGCCGATCTCAAGATCTACGCTTGAATCGCTTCCTTTCCCAGCTTGTCATCAAAACTGAGGTATTTTTCATTATTTCAAGTGATAATTGTCGCATTTAATTCCATTCAGTATTTGCTTCCGAAATTTCGACATTTATTGTATTCCACAACTAGTTATTAGTTTTGATAGGTTATCGCAATCAAAGGTTTCATGTTACTCCATATGGCGAACATTACTTTGAAATTTTCTCACCTTTTGTTTTTAATATTCCACCTTTGGAACCCTGCCTTTCAGATTGGATTTGGAAGGGAACTTATCAATCAAGACATCCTTACATTACTATTGGAACTTTGCAGTCATTATCGAGAGACGAATCGTAACATTTATTTGAATGCACTGAAAATACTGGCAAACATTGTGGCACAGAATGAATACTGTGCAACAGCAATTGCAAATTCAGGTTGTTTTCATCGCTCTTACTTTATTAAGCCGTGTCGCTTTCATTTTAGTTTTGGGAAATGAAATTTAATTTTCAGAATGGCTTCCAGTGCTCGCAGCTATGGTTACATCACATATTTTTGAAGAAATGCTAATGGCTGAGAAGGTGCATTGTATTATCTCACGTTTAGATTCCATTTTGTTAGTCTAATTAACTTACTTCAAAAACTTTCCTTCTGATAGACTTGGAAGTTTAACATCTTGCTTAACATGGCTATATCAGCGCTTGACATGAGTAGAGTAAAAAAATCGTTCATGCCATAGAATTTGACCTGTCATATGGCAATAACGAGAGTGCCTGAAATCTTCTAAATATGTATTCCTGCTTGTTTGAGACATTTTACACAGTTTTGTTTAAATTCAGTAAGTTAGTTTATATGTCATTGAATAATACAGCCTTTAGGATTTCCACAGCTCTGTTATAATCGTACGATTTTAACCAAGTTTTTACCGAAACATGATTTTGCAGATCTGCAGTAATGGTTTGAGTGTTTTCGATAACAGTAGGAAGCCACTGAAAACTAATGTTTACGAGCTTTTTCGTCCAGATGAAGATCAACCACCGGTAATCGATCTAGTGCTAATCCATGGTATCCGTGGTAGTGTTTTTTGGACCTGGCGAGAAAGAGATAATCCGTCAAAGATACTACGCACCAGATGCTGGCCAAGGGTAATGTCTACGGGGATTTCTTGCTACGTAAATTAGCAATCTTTGAAAGCAGTTACAAACCTGCTTGATTGCAGGCATGGCTTCCGCAAGATATTCCTGTCCCATTGCGAATACTTGCTATCGATTACTTGTCCTCGCTTGTACATTTCGTAGGAGCTGTTGAAACAGTGAACACAAGAGCTCAAAAATTTGCGATGGAACTCAAGACTGCTGGTATTGGTGACCGACCTATCCTTTTTATTTGTCATAGCATGGGTAAGAATTTTGAATTATTTTTGCCGATAATTTACCACTTGTACCAGGTGGATTCTAGGGACTTGTTTCAGGGGGTTTATTAGTGAAACGAATTTTATTAGATGATCCAGAAATACGTCGAAGCACGATGGGAATACTGTTTATGGCAACGCCACACCGAGGCAGTCCTTATGCAATGTATGCACCGTTGGGCGTGCGACCATCTGACGATGTAAAACTTTTGCACCAGCAGAGTGCGATAAACAGACAGGTAAGAAGCTGCCTGGTACGGAGTCCACAGCCATTGAAATGTCGAGGACTCACTTGACAAGTATAATTTGCGGACTTTTTGGTGGACTTGTCGGTTGCCTCATTTCAGCTTCATCAAGATTTCCTTAGAATTATTGATACAGTACCTGTGATAAGTTCGGTGGCAGAAACAGCGAAAGCACCACTTATCATGCGTCAGAAAGGCATATTAGTACCCCCAGAAAGTGCTTATTTGGAACGGGGCGCCTTCTACCACATAAATGATGTAGGTCTTTTTTCATCTTTTAATCTTTCAATTTGCAGTGCACTCTTTCCTTAGTCTTTCTTAATAATACTGTAAAGCTTCAATGTAGAAGAAAAACCTCTTTCCACGTATTTCACTTCCATCTTTTTACCTATTTCAGATACATCACAATATTTGCAAGCCTTCTAACCGGCAGGATCGTATTTATGGTATAATTTTGCTATTTATAAATGACGCCATCCATCATATTTTAAAGAATATGAGCTAGATGAAAATCTCGAATGAAAATCCCGACCATTACGATGTTACAAGCCATACGTTATGTAGTCGTGGTCAAGGTATGTCGATTTTGAAAATCTGAGAAAGGGTTCCTAAGTGACTTGGCTTCTTCGAACGATAATGATAAATGAAGCAAGCTTAGGTTTACAGGCTTCATTCAAACATTCCGTACCATGGGTCATTGTTCATAACATCTATGTAACTGCTCATCGTAATCTTTCAATATACTTCGAGTAAATAATTTACTTAGATTACCAGAAAATTAGGACAGTCTCTTCTACGATAAGGTTTATATTTGGTGATGTATTTTGAGATCGTTTATAACCCACAGAAGGAAATAAAGTGTTTTTGTATACGTTAATCCTACAGTCTCTGAGAAAATGTAGTCCGACTGTGTTTAATCATACTTTAACAGGTAATCCATATTGCTAAAAAAATTAAATCTGATAAACAACCAAATAATAAAATTCGTTGTACCCATATAATATCACTGGGACCAGATGATAAACTATGTTAGGTACGAATTATCGTCCATTTACATCTTTTTACGATTGAAATGATAGAAAAGGATGCCCATTACAGTAGTATGAATCTGGACAGGAAAATGATTAAAAGGAAAATACGAGTGAAAAAAAAAGCACTGAAATTTTGAGCCCCTTCGACTGTTTCGGAAAATGACACTGCTGCTGATTTGAGGACTCTGCGTACACTTGAGAATTAATACGAATTTGTCTTCGGAAAATACGATTATTCGCAACGATTAGAAAATGTTCTGAAGATTAGCTGTACACTCCACTTATATTATAATGTTCAGTATCATGAAAAACCAACAAAATTAAATTTCTGTAAATTCCCACCTACCGAAATTAAAGGGATGGCTAAACTGACCAATTTGAAATTCAACAGAAGCCCAGGTATTTAAGAATTCGAGGTAATTTTTGCATACAACCAATTAAAAATAAACTATCAGGTAAGAATGAGAAGGCATGAACTACTTAAACTTCAACAGCAATATTAATAAAAACAATTAACCAAAGTAACGAGATTTTGAACTATGCACTGTCTGTGGATATACGCTCCGTTGAATGTTTTTCGCTTGGAGACCATACTGGCACATATTTCGCGGCCAGTGGTGATTTCTTCTGTATCAAATCTGCTGCCCTTTCAGACAGCATAATCACTGGTGCGTTAAGATTTCCACTTACAATTGAGGGCATTACTGATGCATCTACTACCTTCAAGTTTATTTTTGAGTTGTTTTTGATGAGAATTTGTAGTTTCACTCCAATGTCTTTAAAATTTAGTAGGTATTCGATTGTTTGCAATGGAAAAATCAAGCTTACGTAAAGATTTTCAATTCCGTGGACGCCCATTGTTTCCGGGTTGACAACAGCAAATTTATCGGACTCAATTCCCATTTTGCATGAACAGGATGGATGATATGCAGAAGAAGACTTCATCCGAACAAATTCGTCAATCTGTTAAAATATTTGACGATTTCCTCAAGTAGCACAGTTGGAAAAATGGTTCTTCTTTGCATGTAGTATAAACACGTAGTATGAACCCATTAACGTAGTTAATGAAACGGTAGGGCTTGTCGTACCTGCTCGTTGCTCTGACAATCTTCGCCGGGTAATAGCTCATCGCCACGATATTTGTCAAAGCTTGGCTGACTTAACAGTGCCCTAAAACATTTAGGGAAATAACTAAGTTGCTTTTATTTAATCTAATCTATCAAAAAATTCCTCTCAAATACAACCTTGCAATTCGTATGGCAAGTCTAAATTCGATATAGTCGTCTAAATGATCCAAGTAATTCGGATTTATGAGTGGATATCGCCTAGGATCATTACTAGCCAGCGTAACTGTACCCTTGGACTTGGATCGCAGTGGACCGACGTGTACCTAAATTAATCGAGTACTGAATGATGGTGTATAGATGACATAGAAACAACTCCAGGCATGAAGAGCATCTAATTTCCCAAAATCCAGAACTGGTATCAAAATTACCTGGTAAGCGTGGCATTTACTAGTGGTGCGTCCATCATCATGTACTGTAGAGGGAAGAAAATGGAACTGAATATCTGGATGAGAAACCTAAAATCAAAAGTACTGAAAAGCTCGCTTTGCTCAGATCCATCTGGAAATATCTAAGTTGAAGGACCGAAAAATACACACATAGATAAACGAACCCTTGGTTTACTTCTCACAAAGCCACCAGACTCCAGATGACTGCTCGCTCCAAGACCAGTTTTAGACATGTACCACTCGAAGCCAACTTTGATCATATTATGTGGGAAACGCCAAGAGCTCTTGTTGTAAAGTGTAATTGGTTGCGTACATTTCTAAATATTGTTAATCTACTTAAAACTTAAATTTATTCATTTTGCACCTGTAGTGAAAACCATGGCCGTTAGATTAGCAGCGAAAAGGATGGAAAACGAAAGAAACCTGTTGTACATAGACCTCAAGATGATCCTGCAAGTTGTTGCCAACTCCTGGTAAATGCTCAACCACAGGAATTGAATGAGCCTGTAAGGAATCTCGTCATTAAATAAAACAATTTTAAACTGCCTAAAGAAAAGCATCTGGAGAAGGCTTATTTCTGCAATTTCATGTTTTTTTTTGGTAAACCGAAAAATTTAGTTTACCTTTATATTATCTGCTGGTCCAATACCACTAAGAAGCAAGAGCTGTGGAGTATTAATTGCACCACAGGCAAGAATCACGCCTTCTTCACAGTATACTTTCTCACGATTCCATGAATTGATATTATCGGTAAGTGGACCATTCTGCAAAACAGAAAAAAAAACTTTTGGATGCGGCTGTCATTTATAGCAAGAATCATTTAAAAACACCTTGAGTTCATAAAGTTTTGCCTACCACACTCTCTTTATATTACTTTTTGCTCTATGCCCCACCAATCTGAATGCACAAAAAAAAGTTGCCCTGACCATGAATTTGGATAAGATAAATATCTGGAACTACAACATTTATTATGAAAGATAACTAGACTACTGCCGGTTAGTTTTTTTCTATACTCAGTTTCCTTAAAATCTGTCAAAATTACAAGCAAATGAAAAACACTTTTCTTATAAATTCGATACCAACTGCTTTGTTGCCATCAAATAATATGCGTGTACATAATATATTCGATGAAGTATGCAAATTTGGGCGTGAAAGTGCCTGAAAGAGAGAATAAAAAGAGTACAATTCATTCTGAAACAGTCAATTACATAGAAACATGAAACATATAATTTGCAAAAATGTTTTTTTGACATACAGGCCACAAATACGCTCTCGATGCACTCCAACGTAAGCCTTTATAAATAGTGAGGTCCATTGGAGCTATTCCTTCCTGTCTGTATCCATTTATGTCATCCACAATACCAACACCAAACTACAAAAATCATTGCTTTTGTCTTGGGTCCGAAATTTCCAAAGATCTACAACATACATGGAAAAACTGCGTTAACTGTTAACATCATATAACTGAAATCCTATTTACTTGATCTCCGCATTCAATAAAAGCTTTGTGCAACGGGTTGTCGCACTTCCCCTGCATAACATGAAGTGGACCATTCCAGCCACGATAAGGATCTGTTGGCCCCTTCGACAATTCATGAGTTTGAGCCTTTTTAAAATAAGGAAGTACATTCCTGAAATAGTAAGTTTCTCCAGCAAGAAGCTTTGTAATAAACGGGCTCTAGTTTCTAATTCAAAAGTAGAAGAACTTCAACAAGAGATACTTGTAAGACCAATTCGTAGCCCCTTCTTGCTCCCAACGATCATAATCAAGTGGATGTCCACGGACGTACACCATCGCATTAAGAGTGGAAGAGCCTCCCCAAACACGTCCACGGGGCCAATAAACTGTTCGGTCATTCATGTTTTTTTGCGGTTGAGTATAATAAAACCTATAAATCTGCATTAATAAAAGCTGGTAAGGCATCCTTTTTGAAACAATATTTCTAAACCATCGTTTGTGGAATTCTTTTCCATCTTTATAATGAATATGACTAAATTAGCATGTCAAAGAAAATCGACACCTTATCGGTTTGCCTGAAGCTTATTGGAGGTATATCAGTACTATCTACACCTTGTCACTCCTATTCCAAATGATATACGTTACTTAGTACATGTAGTATCAGGTAAATTCATCTGTAGCTTGAGTCCTTGTGATAGCAGTGGAACAACTGAATTTACCAGTTATACTTGTCATCACACAGATTGTACATAAGTGCTGCTGGCATGTGAAATTTCCAATTCCATTTCGAATCTCGCGGACCAGCCTCCACCAGTAATACTCGATTGGCTGGGTTTTCTGTCAGTCGATTAGCCTAAAAGGAAGCTTACTATAACTCGTTGTGTATTCTTCACTAATTGCCAGAGGACTGTTCTATCAAGTCTGTTAAAACTATACCAGGACACATCCGGCTGAACCAGCTCCGACAATGATGTATGTTGGCTTCTTGTCACCCAGCTCTGGATCTATGAACCCGAGGTATCGACCCCACCCGTAATTCCGAGTTGCGGTTGTTCCTAACCAATTCTTCCGAACGAATATTGGTCGCATCTCCCAGTTTTCCTTTCCTTTCTTCTTCCCCAGGAAATAACGTAACACGATGTTTTACCGAGAGGGACGGACGATTTCAAAACGCCGACAGTTGTATATTTCGCATGCTTAAACGCTACGCAAAAATTGCTATACCGGAAGAGAGCACAGGAACGAATAGAGTGCACCGATAGCAGGCAGTTGAAACGGATACAGAAGATCTGGAGAGAAGCATTAGGAAAATGAACCAACTGTTCACCGGAACTCTGAAGTTCTGCATTACTCCACCTTCATCCATGGCCAACAAGAGATGACAAACCGGGACGGAAAACCTACAGGTTGTTGATATTAAAATCGCCTACATTTATGCTGCTTCAGAGTCTGCAGGAGACAATATATTATGTAGGTCGTCAAAATTCTTCGGCAGTTACATATGTCAATAATTTCAGTATCTAAATGATTTGACTCAAGGCCTGTTTACTAACTCTAATGTATATGTAAATCAAATCTATAAAATGTTCTTTTGAAATTGAAATTAAGTAAATCCAAAGAAAAAGCTTCTCTTTTAAAATCACCAATATTATTATGGAATGAAAAAAGTGAGTTAAAACTAGACAAGGATACATATATATATCCGCTGTTAGTTCGCCGTCTTCTAGCAGAAAGGGAAAAAAAGGAAGTCTGAGAGATTTTTTTTGGCTATTGTTACTGAAAAAAAGAACTAAGAGTTGATTGCAATCATTCATTCTTGTTATCTTACCAACTATTAGCAAAAAGAAAACTAGCTTTCAAAAATTTTTTGAATGTCAGTTTTGAAATGCCGAGTACTGTAACCTTTGTGGATATGGAGGATGGATCGAACGATTGCAGAAACTAAGGTAGCTGCATGTAATGTTAATACACTAAACTTGGTCACATTTAACTTAAAACTCAGGGAGCATAAATCAAATACCGCTGACCTTGTTTATTTTACCTTGTTTATTTGCTGTCTCATATCGCAGGATGCATATGTTTTCTCTTCTTTGTTATCTGTTGATATTTCCTCGAGTTGAATCATTACAACAAACAAACGTGGCAGCTCGAAGAAGTTCATTCAGCTAGAAAACTTGCACAGCAAAGGATCTGTAATCTGTGATGCAAATATATCAGAAATTTGTAATTGCCACGTGAAACAATAGCCCCTCTTACGACCGATTGCATATTACATACGCATAGCTTCACTCAAAATACTGCAAACAGCATAAAAAATTCAGGAATTTTCGCATTTTCTTGACGTTATTCACCATGATCCTTATCGCATCATACGATAAGTTACGCCGACTTCCACGCAACAATCATCCTTTAAGCATCACTTTATATAATCTCTGCTCATTTTACAGTAATCCACAACAATGGGGCAGTATAGGTGGCCTGCAGCAACAAGGAACAACGACGTCACCGGTCCTGATACGAAAGCCTCGTGGGTGGTCCCGATCGTCACAATTACGAACCACTTTACAACAGTGGTTCAATTAAAGCTGTTTACTGATGGCTCTCATGTTGATATGTATTTGTATGTGTGCGCATGTATGTGTATGTATGTGTATGTGTGTGTGTGTGTGTGTGTGTGTATGCGTGTGTATATATGCGTGTACGTGTGTGTGCATATGTATATGTATATGCATGTGTGTGTATGTGTATGTGGGTATTTATGTGTGTATTTATGCGAATTCATTTGCAAATATGTCTTTGTGTGCTTCAATTCGTTCCTGAACTTCCTGGTTTAACTAGTCATAATTGAGGATGCTCTCCATTATTCACGAGTTTGATGCTGAGATATGAAAAAGAAATAAACAGGCTAAAGGCTAGCATATGTCTGGTCAAAATTTTCAATTCCAGAGTGTGAATTTATCCCGTTTCACCACTCCAGAGAATGTTATCATTAAAAAACTTTATTGTAGCTATTATACCTCCTCTCTTTTACTTTTTTCTTTTTTTTTATAAAGTTGAGAAGCCAAATTACGGGAATTTTACTAAAAACTTGCAATAGTGTTCCACATAGTCAAATGAAAACTTATTATCATTTATACTCAGCTCTGTGAACCAAACAATGAGTGGATCTACAATGTGCCTTTTGCGAGGAACTGCGGAAATTTGAAAGTCTTCTAGACATGAATTATAAAGGAAAGGAAAAAAAAATGGCTTGATTTCAAGTTAATTTGAATACTTTTCTTGTAACATAAGAAATTTAGAGAATGAGGAAAGAAATTGAGTAATCTGAGAGATTAACTAAAATTAAAACGGCCAAATTAACTCAATAACATTTGCACTTCATTTGTGACGAATTCTTTTTTACACTCTCCTCTTCTATCCCATTTTTAAGAAAAAAAAGAAAAACCTCGAGGTCATACTGCTGAACCATTGATTTTATGCGTTATTTTTTACATAGGATATCATTTGTGTTTTCACTCTCCATACAATTTATTTGTTTTATAAGTAGCTCGAGAAAAATGATATTACGTTATTGGAAATATTTTGAAGTCAAAATTTATTTCGGAAATTTTCGCGCCAGTTACTTTGAACCGTATACACCTTGCTCGATCGTTATGTACATCACATCTGTGGTACCAAGTTTGTTTTTTCATGGATAGTTTTTAGGAAGAGACAACATAAAAGTGTGACTTAGATATGCAAACGATTAATTCTATATTGATTTTAATATAATTAACCAAACGATTAATTTTACAAACGATCAACTGATATGTCATGAAAGAATACGAAAGTATTCGAGAATTTCACTATAATGATCGAAATGTGCTGCCGAAAAACAGAGTCATTGTTCTGTTTGTTTATAAGATTGGTTCGTTAGTGATTACTCATGCGCGGAAAATGAAGGCTAAATGTCAAGCAACAAAAAAAATTTGTTTATTGTAATTATTTTCATCAACAAATGGTCATCTCAGATAAGTAAATGGCCCTATCCAGTGTAATAAATTAAACTAACAAGCATATGGCTATCAGTGATGTTGCAAAGTGCAGCAATATTCACATAAGATGATTTTTACCGGTTCGAAAAACTCTATAAAAAAATATGTGGAACCCAGTATCATCTCAAAATTATAACGATATACTGTCACATACAATAGTGAGATATACTGTCACATGCAATAGTGATGATAGAATGATAATGTCCTTGGCATTGCTAATAAAAGATGACAGCAGTGATAATAATTTTTATAATGTAATGTTTATAATGACAACTGCTTAAAATAAGCTCCAACGAATTTTCAATGTAATTCAGTTAGAAGAGCATAACTATCAAAGACGAATATCAGTACTCATGATAATGACCATCTCCTCATATCCAACACAATAGGTAATAGTTCGCCTACGTCATGAACCTAAAATAATTTAACAGTTAGCTGATAATCCAGTAGTATGAAACTTAAATATTCCCAATGGTTGATATGGCATGTGCTCACAATGTGATCAGCTTGTGGCCGCAGTTCATTGATGTCACATACACCAGAAAGTACGCCAACAGTACTACCAAGATTAGCAGAACGTCCCATGCCCATATCAGCTAGAGTATCACCTACTACAATTGCGTCCTGAAAGAAATTTTCAGCAGTTTTATGAATAGCGTATGAACTTAGTAACCGCAGAGCATCATATAGAAATTAAATGATTTTAATCTTACAACGTTGAATAACTGCAAGCAGCACCGCTCAAAATCTCGAACAGATTTGTCTGATGAAATTATTCTATTTTTAGCAAACTACATTGCAAGGATATCTGCAGCGGACTTTTCATCGTTGAGAGGAAGAATAGAAGGTAAAATGAATAAAAAAAACTCCTTTGGAACTTCCAGTTTTTATGAAGCTTACTTGTGGATCAACATTTAACGTACGGCATATGGAAAGTGCATTATGAGGATGCGGTTTCGGTATGGAACCAGCATCATCACCACACACTACCATATCAATATAATCTTCTAGTCGTAAGCGTCGTAATGTAGTCAAGGTTCCTTTCCTGGAAAAAAAAACTTGCTTAAATTTGAAAACAAGTCTTGAAAATGAGGCAAAACTGGAAATATTGTAGTGGGACATTTTTCTCGAAATACTGTAAAAGCGATAAAATTACCAGATCATATGAACAAAGTGGACCAACGGTATTACAGGTTATCTACTACAAAATGGTCACATGACTCCACGCAAAACCTGGTACTCGATACTCTATGTCGAATCATTTGATTACATTGTATTTGATGGATAAATTGTGAATGAGTTGCATTTAGTAACATATAGAAGTTCTACTTGGCTTTGAGGAATAAATCTTAGCGGGTTTCTCTGCTGTCCAATCATTGTCACCTTGTATCGGAGTACGGGAAGTGGGGAAGGAGATAGTAAGTAGAAGTAAATAATCAATCGTCAGCAACAGTTATTTTTTATTTAAACATCGTTGTTTCTGTATCTTAAATAAATTTCAGAAACCTTACTGTTGCGAAAAACTAACCGACTGTCTGAGGTACAAATGGCTATTTTGATTCCGTTTTCCTGTAGTTGCTGAAATAATGAACGTAAGTCAAAAATTTCTTTGACATTGTAACCACTGGATTCATTCGACTCTAGGATTGCTGCCATAACAAGCTGCAATTATATACTTGCATTTCAAAGCATATTTGTGAAAAAAAACCGATGACCAAATCAATAAATATTGCGACTTTAATAGCAAAGTAACAAAATCGATGTAGTGAAGATTTTCCAGCAGTTGAAAAATGGACAAACAGCATTTTCTATGGAAGAAGAGAAATATGAGCAAAAAAAACCAAAATCAAAATTCGAAAACGCAGGAAAGAATGACTTTAACAGCTTCAGCCGATTCAATTCCGCGATTAATCAAGAAGCGGGCAATAGCATCACGTATCTGTGCCATGGTTCCTTCAGCGAGAAGTCCGGATTGCACACGTTCTTCTTGCTCATGCAAGCCCAATAATGAATATATTTCTTTTTTAACGTTCATATTTATTGTCTCACTTATCCTGCAATACTTTTAATGAATTGTAATCCGTTTCTTTCTTTAAATTTTTCGTTAGAAACTATGTTCCATTCCACTAACTCCAAATAATTTAAACTATTCAAGGAAAATCAATAATCACTTCTTGGTTACATTTATCGCCCATGGAACCCATGTAGAATGAAAACAGATTAAAGTGCCATCCTTGTCGAAGATCACAAGTGAAGCCTTGTTCTGAAATGGAAATCCAATTAGTTCAAATAAAAAAACCCCAATTGTTCAATTATTAAAAAAAAATTGTTCTAGAAATCCAATTATTAAAAAATTCTAGCTTATTTTATTTCAGAAAATTACAAATGACTGCGCACAAGTGTCACTATCACTATTTCATGTTTTAATGTACTTGTGTAAGTAGAGTTACCTTGATGTTGACAAAAATCTACCTCGCCCTAACCAAAGTTATTCCAAACTCAAAATAACTGACTGTGTTATACACAAGACAAGCTGGTACTAGTTTATTACAGCTGCACTTACATCATTTTGAAGTAGTTCATTATGCTCTGATGGGTTAAGCCATTCTCATACACTAATGAAGACGGCACTTTTTTGGCAGGATAATGTCAACATGAAATAAAATGAATAAAAGCTAGCGAATGAACCCACATTTTTTTGACATCGCATGGGTGCAAGTGTTTGTTCAGGACGACTCGCGAACACCTGGTCATCACGAATTGAACGCCGAGTAAGACGATTTTGAATAAAAGTAAAGGGAAAAGGTCGCCCATATTCATCTAAAAGATAGATTCACCAGAATTTATTATAGCCACAAATTGTGCTTTGTGAATTCCAAACAGCCAATGAAAGGAATTGTCAATCCAAAGAACAATTCAATGTATTAGTTATGAAAATTTCATTTCAGCACAATGGCAGCTTTTTTCAAGTTTTACTATTTTACGTCCGTGTATACTTGATGCAGTAAGTAAAGATTCAAATTGATGTTATTTTTTCGTAGAATAATAGTTTCCTTCCTAAGAACTATTGGAAGGTTTAAAATAGGAAACTTTCGTCACTTTTTATTGAAATTTTGATTTCTGTAAGTTGGAAATTTACTTGCCCACTCACTACAATTTTCGTGAAAGCATCAAGTTATTACTGGGAGATAACATGGTCACATGACCCTAAATTTTAAAAGAAAGTTTAAGGGAAAAATTATTTCTTTGTTTTCAGACAAAGGGAATTGAATTATCAAAACATTCAAGAAATTGGATAACTCTGATCTGAGCGCTGTTTTTAAATGACTCATTTCATTTCGAAAATATTATTTTCGAATCATCGTTCACTTTTCTTTTATTCTTGAAACAATTTGAAATTTGCTACCAATGTCTAGGATTCAATTTTATAAACATTTTTCGACACTCAATAATTTCTTTTATTTGAAGAAATTGTGCAATCATTCTTAATTGTACTTGTTTTGCAAGTCCCTCTGATTTTATTTCTTTTTAATTGCACCGAAAAATTTCGTGAAAGACATTACCACAAAAATAATGGGGTATGTTAAAGGAACTGTAGCGCAATATACAAATTGCATCGAAAGTTAGCTTTTGAGCTCCACTCGACGCAAAACATCCCAACTAAACCTCAAATTTGTTTAAAGGAAGTGAGAAATAACTTACAAGCGATACTGAGTAATGCAGATGAGTTGCGTATGAGGGTTCGCACACTTCTTGCGCTCATCACGCCCGTCGCCTAATCTCAGTCACGTTTTTTTCTTTTTTTTCGCACAATAACAACAGCAACCTCCGGAAGATCAAAAATTGAACCAAGTCCTGCAAATTTTAGAATAATTAACTTATCCGGACAAAAACTCACGCGAGATAGCTTCATTAGATCGTTGAGAATGAGTGGTTATAAATCCATTAATGAAGCTCTGCTTTATAAGTAGTATGCTTTTCAGGAATGCCACAAAACTTCATTAAACAAACTTAGAGCAACTAAAGTGCGAGCTTTGCAAGCATGTAGACGCGAGTGAATTATCGGAAGGATATCGAAGGAAATATGGAAAAGAGGAATAGGGTCGAATTTTTAGATGGATAATGAATCCATAGGAAAACACAGAGAAAAAGAGTAAGAAAGTTGACGAGGATGACTAGTCTAGATTGGGAGTTGCTGGACGGAACTAGCTTAGTAAGATAATTAATTGATGAGATGGATTATCTTTTTACTAACGGCAACTATATGTGCGTTTATGTTCGGTATGTGCCTTATACAATTAACTTTTCACTTTCATATTAATTTCGAACAAATTCGTCCTTTTAACTAATGGAAAAACATCGGAAAACTCATTCATCCCGATCTCTTTCCAAACTCCATTTATTTCCCATCCATTTACACTAATAAAAACCAAACCAGGATTATCTATTCTAGAATATTCGAGAATGAAAGAGATTGACCTTCCAATAATTCGAAAATAACGGCTTTGAAGTGAAGCAGTAAGTGACAAATGGGAATTTTAGAGATTTAAATCCTTGTATGCATGGAAAAATTTATCCAAAAGAATGACAAAATACAAATCAAATAGAGAGAATGTTTCTGTATTCCAGATTGTTTTTGTATACAACTAAAGAAGTGGTGCAATTTCACAGTTAGTGCAAATTAAAAAGGGAAAGCAAAGGGAGGAGGCATTGTCAACAGGAAACTTTGTGGGAGGCGAGTAAGTAGATGCGGTTAGATCTTCTACTTACTTTTTCGCAGGGGATGGCTATGAAAATACAAAGTCGAAGGTCTGTTTTTTAACAAAACATATAACTGGAAACACGAAGCGAAATTTAGTCCTGACACATTTGATTTGAATTCCAATCACGAGGCTGTTAAATCGTGAATTATCGTTCTTAATTCAATTACTCAAGGATGAGGGATCTTACCTATGTTTTTCTGCAGCAACCATTGAAAAACCGGAACAACCGTTAAACTGAATGACTATAAAAAAAAAGTTCCGAAAAAATAGCACATTCTTAAAATATTGCAGGAATATGCAAGTTTCATGATGATTTTGCATTTATATTATATTCAAAAATTCTGATTAAAGTGTTCCCTTTCCCTTATTTCTCATTCTTCTCTTAATACTTTTACTCACTTATCCAGCAGTTGGAATCAATGTGTAATTCATAAGATGTTTAAAATGTTTACTTTAAAAATAATCGTTATGCAACTTACATAGTGATTTGAATTTTAAGAATCATCCACATCACAGACAATTTGCTGAACTAGTACAAAGTGAGGAATAATGCAAATAGATTCGATATGTCAATTAATAACATCATCGAAATCTGATTTTATTCTGCAGAAAAAAAAGTGCATGAAAGTAAATATGCAAAATCATCATGAAACTCGCATATTCCTGCAATATTTTAAGAATGTGCTATTTTTTTAAAACTTTTTCTTTTATAGTCATTCAGTTTATCCTCAAGGATGAGGATCTTTTATAGTCATTCAGTTTAACGGTTGTTCCGGTTTTTCAATGGTTGCTGCAGAAAAACATAGGTAAGATCCCTCATCCTTGAGTAATTGAATTAAGAACGATAATTCACGATTTAACAGCCTCGTGATTGGAATTCAAATCAAATGTGTCAGGACTAAATTTCGCTTCGTGTTTCCAGTTATATGTTTTGTTAAAAAACAGACCTTCGACTTTGTATTTTCATAGCCTTCCCGTGCAAAAAGGTAAATAGAAAAAGATCTAACCACACCTATTCGCCCCCACAAAGTTTTCTGTTGACATAATTCCTTCCTTTGTTTTCCTCTTTTAATGACTGCAGAATAAAGAAAAGAAAATATTTCCTCTTTTAATGACTGCAGAATAAAGAAAAGAAAATAATGTCTGACTAAAGAAAGCTCTTAAATACTTCGCCACTTCATGCCACACTAATTATTATTTTATTGCGATCATTTTTAAAGAGCTTTGAAAATACTGAGCAGCTAACAAATGCATTTGATGAATTTTATTTCCAGGAATAGAATTTGACAAATTTTTTAAAAACCTGCTAAAAATTTCATACAAAATTTCATACAAAAAAAAGTTAAATTATTCTGATTTCCAAAACTTCTTAAACAACATATGCACTCATAGAGCTCTGCTGTCTTTTTCTTTTTTTTTTCTTCCTATTTTGTCAACAAATCAAACGAGTTTGACATGGCAGAAAGATCGTATTTTTCAGCTTTAGGAGAGGTTATGTTGTAAACAGATAAATTTCTTATTTTTAGTTCGAGCTCGCTCAAGCATTTTGAGCAGTAAATTACGAAAAAAATGCAATGATACTTTGTAGGTGGTTGTTATTACAGCCAATGAAAAATAACATGGCAAGTACCCCTCCTTGCATTTCTCTTCTAGGCAAAACTGCCCTTCAAAGGTATGACATACTTAAATAAAATTGAGTGGACAGTTTTTTAATCTCTTCCATACCAGCGCATTTAAAGCTTTTTTAAGATTTAAAATTCAAATGTGGGGTTCCAGTGAAACACTTAGATTAAAATTTGAATAAACCAACAAAATCCTACTAAAAAATCTCAGCAAGATACGAAATACAAAATGTACTTAAGTATATTACTATAAAATTTGAAGCAAACGGAATTGTTTTCTGACTTGAATAAGGTATGCTTTTCTGCAGTTGCGACGAAAAACTGAGACTTCCAGACAAACTTAGCAAATGATTAATCCACAAACTGTCTTTTCCGTCACTCTTTCTCTTCGTCCTCTTCGAGCGACTCACGCAATGAAATTTTTGCGCATTAGTCACCAACGTCACCGTCCTTTCTCATATTTTCAAAAGTGGAATAGTGACCAAAGAGATTATACGTTCAAATTATATAACAATAATTGCTCAACTAAATGATTACCACATAAGATTTCCCTTTTTGCCATGCGTTTTTCATTTGTCTATTAAAACACAATTGAATACTCTTTTGGATTATTTTCTGGAATTGTTTCTTCCTCAATGAGGGAGCGAATATTCCAGGTTAAGCATTTCTCCTCTGCTATTTTCATGGACGTTTCAGCATTTTACTTGCTAAAAATTAAATTTTCTAAACGCTTAAAGATTGTTGCATATTTGATTAATAGAAGATTGCTTAATCTGTGAGTAACAGCTTTTGGTATAAATCTAAAAAATCATTTTAGGAAATCCGTTAATTGATGCAATTTTAGTCATTTACCAGTTTTGCTATACTCATAAATTCTTTTTTCCCTTTTGGTATCATGCACTTACTGTTGTTACCCGATCATTCTGGAAGATGCAAAATTTCTAACAAAGATTGAGCTTAATTTATAATAAACCATATCTCCAATTATCAAGATGATAACTCGAAAAACATTGCGCTAAGCATTTTGAATAACAGATTTTGTTTATAGAAAATTTCTAAAATGATGATTGGAAATTTTTGAATTAAAAATTTTAATTGGGTTTGTTTTAGAGAAGAAAAGCTATTTTTTGCTTTTCTTGAAAAAGGGGGAAGGAAGCTATATCCTCAACATGTGCCAGAATATGATGTTTTGTCAATGTGGAGAATTTTCTTTGATTTCCAACTGAATACTGTCTCGCCATAAAAATGAGATTGCAAAGATTTGTCGGCGCAGCTTACCTGATTCCATTCAATCGTTCAGCCTCCAATATTGTGACAAATTACCCTATTTCTCATCGTATCCTGGCCAGTCTGTAAATCCATGAAAAACTGCTTCATTTTCTGGTTTTAACCTTGTTTCTTAATTTGCATTTCAAATTTCATAAATTTATGTTTTATCATATCTTTGATGTATTTATTCTTCGCTACTTTCACAAGTAAATTTCCACTTATTTTTTCGTGTTTACCATGGATATTTGTTGCAATATTAAAAATATTGGAGTAAGGTTTTGCTCTTTGAGTTTTACTTCGAGGAGGAAGTGTTATTTTGTAATTTTGTTTATAAAGGAATAAAAGTGATCTCATGGAACATTTTGCAACTTCATTCAGTGACACTCAAACTTCTAGGCGGTTTGAAATCTTTACTTGTTCATCAAGAAAACATTAATGGGTAGTATATTTCCATTAATGGGGCATTATTGAGTTCACCACAACATCTCCAAGTGATATCTAATGTGCTTTTTGGCAGGCAAAAACTATGGCAAGTCACAAAGTAATCTGAAGCGTGCTCTTATAGTTCTTTAGTCGCAATACTTGACTATCGATAATGATATCATTAATCAAGCAATGCCACCCCAAGAAGTATTTACTAAACATCAACAATCATTGATATAACTCAAAAGTATTAAGGAGAAGAATATGGTTAAGGATGATGTGATAAAACCAAGTCCTTATTTTCTCAATGTAGTACATACCGCAATGGGAACAGTGCCATATTACCTACTAATCACAATGGCCGAAACGCCGGAGTGATAAATCGTTTTCGACGGTAAGAATTATACACAGCCATATACTGCAACAGTTCATTAATTAACTTCGATGAATCCGAACTCCGGATATATACCGTTAGCCTGCCTGGTTTAAATTAAAATTCCGTTAAATATTCCTTCATATTTTGAATCATTTTGTCATTGATACTTTCGAAACCCTATTCATCCGGACCATTACGAAAAAAACTACTTCAGAAAGCCAACTAAACTAAAATTTTACCTTATGAACTAAATTTTAAATATTGTAGAATTAATTTGACCACTTAGTAAGAAAGTTTGAGTTTGAAGAAAAAAAGTTCTTTTTTTATTAAAAATTTTTTTTATTTATTAAAGACTTATTAAAAGTTCTTTTCAGCTTTGAATTCATCGTAACAAGGAAAGTTTAATCTTTCAGTTATATTCCAAAGTTCTAAGTCTTTATGGGATGATTCAAAATAAATCATTTATAAGTTCTAGCAACATATTTTGTAATTTAATCTCATTTTTTTGGAAAAAAAATCCATTTCCAAGCTGAAATTTTGCAGAATTGTATTTTTTCTCATTGATAGTGAATTTCCAAAATAATTCCTTGTAAGACTGTTATTGCATCTATATTAATCCAAAATGGACCAGCATTTAAAATACCAGCAATTGTTCAACCGCAAAATCTAACTCCCAACAATCTATATGATGTGAAATCAAGATACGTCTAGGTTTGTGTCCGATTTATTCGTATCTGTTGAACTGAGATCAATCACTATCTGTCTTAAGTACCTTCATTTTTATCAATCGATTTTTCCGGTTTTTGAAATTACTATTTTAGATTATCGATACAAAAACCATCGATATAAGCATGTTTTACTATAGAAGTAATGGCTTAACAGCTTGGTTCGTTGTTGATAAAGATATTTTACCAAATAGCAATGTTCGCGTACCAATTCATGATAGGTATGGTATCTCGAAGTTCGTGTACTCCGAAACTTATTTTGAACTGTTCCAGCAGTCGCTAAATATATGACGTATCGTCACGTTTTTTGGCAAGCTTCTCCAATCTGATTTTGCTTCTACAATCTCATTGTGATAATATGAATTTGGCTGTTTTCTAAATTGTCAAATAGCTTATCATTTCAAGTGAATATCATTTCGTAAATATCTTTTTTTTATCATTTCTGAATAAATATTTTCCTTTTTCGTTTTTTCCTTATCAACAACTTAAAACATTTTCCTTCTCCTTATCAGTAAATTAGATTTTCAATAAAATTCAAAATAACTGGTAGTATATTTGCAGAGTAAACAATATCTTCGACTGTGATTCATTTCGTGGTTATAGGAACGAAACGATAATGCTTCCAGGACATTTCGACATCAAAGATATCATTTGATTTTTTGTTTTTTCTATGGAACGGAGTTTGTCGTTGTCACACCTTTTTTCCATACAATGATATTTACCGTCTGATCTAAATGATGTATCAGTAAACTGAATTTCTAATCGTTTTAAAGCATATTGAAGTTCTGTACTTTGCACCCTGAGATATTTATTTGCCTAAATATTATCGCTTCCCACTTCAGCATCAAATAAGAAATTCTTTTTCTTAAAAACTCTTGAATGGAGTTATTCATTTCAGTTTTTAGACAATTCATTTTTGAATGAAGTGAAACTGTTGATAGTTTCATATTGTTAATTATATCTTGCGTAACAGAATTCGAAATATTATTTGTGGATTTTCTGGATATATGTAGGGACCAAACTGTGTTTGGATAAATAGAGCAATGTGCGAACTCGGACAATCTGATCCAATGTTAATTATAACAGAAGGCGTAATACTTTGAATATAAATTTATTACATTATTATGATATTAAATTATGTATGAAGCAAACTTCAATAAAGAATAAAATAATAAAATTGATTGGAGAAATTCTAAAAGGAAATAAGACATTTTTGTAGCTCTCTTATTTCTAATTCATCGTGAATGATCAGACAGTGGGAGTAACCAATACTAACTAGAAAATTAGAGTTTAAATATAATTTAAGGGTTCTAGGAGCTAACAAAATTTGTGAGTAAATGTCGCTTTCAATGATTAAGAAAAACTGCAAGTAAAGTGTGGGACTGACGTGTTATGCAAATCACGTGAGCTTCCGTGAAATGATTCGTTTCTTGGCTCCATTCATGTTATAATACGAGAGTAATAAAATCTGAAGCTCATCTCTTCATATTCCCTTTCAGCAAATGTTGTCAGGTCATATTATCCTTTAAATTTTGAGCATTAAATGCAAATTACTTTTGCTGAAAAAAGCATTAACTTTGCTTGGTACTTGTACTTAGCGCATTGGAATTTTTAGACTGGGACTAAATGCCTTAAATAGCCCAAATATTTCGTCGTAAAAGGCCTAAATATTTCGTCTTAATCACTACTCCAATGATATCATCTATTTTTTACACAAGAGTATTTAAGGCACTTAGTTCCAGTCTAAAAATTCCAATACGCTAAATACAACTACCAAGCAAAGTTAATTAGTTCTACGGATACCAAGCAAAGTTACTACTACATTATTATTTAAACGTCTAACATACACTTTGTTAAAATATTTCCACTGTCTCAAAATATGATTCTAATATATTTAACGTTTTGATTTTACCAGCAATTTTTCTACAGGAAATTATAAGGAACTCATCTACTACCACGTAAAACAACAAGTACATTTGGACAAATGGAAGCAAAAAAGTAAATAGATTCAAGTATATGTAACAAATATGAGATTAAAAGTAAACTGTTGTGGAAATTTCGAGGAAAATCTAAAGTTTCAAGAATATTACCATCCTTGTAAATTTTTTAATAATCTACTGCATTTAACCTTAAACCTAGAAAAGCTCTTTATAACTAATATTTATTTCATTCTTTTTAGAGGCTGATAAAGGTACTGTGTAACTATTTCCAAGTCCTGACGTATAGATCGCAATTGGTTAATTGATGAATAACTGAATGTTTGAAGGGAAGGAAGGTGGAAGAAGTCATTCCCATTACTCTTTTTTCTCGTATATTTCCCCATTCGCCTTTTCATCTTGTCTCGTACCCCTCCATTTGATGTAATCACTAAGTCATTTGAAACTTGAAAAAATGTTGTATAAAATTCATTGAGTAAAGAAGAGGTTATGTACAATCCCGATCGATGATCTGTTCTTAATTGATCGATTTTCCCTTTTAATCAGGTTCTACGTGGATTTTTCATGGTCTTGGAAGAAGACTAATTGAGAGATAGTGCTTTCCCACAAAGTTGTCGTCATTGTAAAAAGACTTTTAATTTTTTCAAGTTTTTAGATTCATTCAATTTTTGACTTTTAAGTCCGTATGAGGTGTCTGAAATCAAGGATTTTTGAAGCTTCTATCAGTTATAGTATTCAAAAATATGAACATTTATGCAGTGTTGATTAGTAAGGAGAGGAAGATTAATTCAGAAAATGTTGACTGGAAATGTCCCTATTGCGCATCTGTAAAATGAGCAAACATGCCATGAAAATATGTAAGAAGGACACCCATCCTCTGCCCAAGGTTTCGACACATTCAACATCGTTATTACTTATCATAGTCAATATACTGATTGATTCCTGAAACGAAATGAAATCGATTGTTTTGGACTCCAACACTGTAGCCGAATGAATTGTTTGAATTGACGAGATTTCCAAACATTACCTTTTTCCTCTTCCTCTCGATCTTCTGTTCTTTCTTCATCGCACTTTTCTTCTTTGTTCCTTCACGTTAATGATTCTAAAAAAAAAAACTTCCAAAAATTCTAAAAATTATTCTAAAAAAAAAAAATTGCACCAGAAAAAGATCGTTTTAAAACTGCTGATGCTATCCGTTTCTTTTTTAAACCTTATCAAATACCCTCCTTTTTACGCATTCAATCATGGAGCCGAAGCATGGCGATGAACCTGTTAAGGAACAAATATTGTGGTACAGCAGTCATGCAGACTGAAAGAAAATAATATTAATGATGTGATTTTTATTAAGTACGTATGGTGTACAGCGGATTGCTGTGCAAAGACGTCAAGAATGCTTCTACAAACAGGTAATTTGAAAAAACTGCTAAAGGTTTCTGAATAGCTAAAACAAATATGTTGAGAACTGAAAGCTGCTGTCAAAAAAGGTGTACTTGCAGAAAAATGCGCCTTAGTTGGAAGGGCTATACTGCTGTTGAGGAGGGCTGAGAAAGTCAGAAATACCTGAACTAAGGAAAAAGAAAGGCAACAGAGTTCCAATGTCTTCGTTTCAAGGAAGAAGTTGAGAGATGCTCTCCTTGTTAAATCCAAAGATGGGAAATGTACACTCTTGCAAAGGAACGTGCAATTTTGGGAAACTGAAACAAAAATTAATGAGATGTGAGCAATTCAGAAATGCTCATCCTAAGAAATTTCAAGAAGAATTGATTGCTCGAAAAGTTATACTAGTTGCATCGTTAAGAAACTTGTGTAGAAAAGTTTTTTCGCAACGACTTTTTGTAAATTAAATGAAAATGAAACTGGTTTAGCAGGTGATTTATTGCATTTTAATCCAAAGAAGAAGTGTTATTAGTTGGCGAAAATAGCACTGAAACTGTTGTATGCTGTAGTCAGTGTTAACTTACGAGAAGCGAATGTTGGAAATCTAAGAGAGCTGTTATGTTCAAATTGAAAAGAAATGTCGGAAACATGTTGACTTTTGACAAATATATATGATTTATTTTTCTGACGACTTGTCGCGCTTTCCATAAACCACTGCAAGGAGAGTACATAGCTAAACTATAAATTGTTTCTCCGATTGGTGTTCAAGACCGTAGAATTGATGTGGAAAGATCGTTTCTTTTGGACAGTTGAATCAGAAGATGGTTCTAAGCACAGTAACTATGGTTGTTAAACTAGATGTCGAGGTGAATATGATATTACAGATTAACAAATGAGTGGTGACGCATGAAGGAGCTGCCAAACATATGTTGTTGAAAGTGCGGAAGTTGACCGAATAAGGTCAAAGATCCATTCCTGGGGGATTTTTCTTCGTTACAAGAAGGAAAGAACACTGAATTATTTGAAAAGTTCTGCTGAACCCTGGTGAACTACCTTGAATTAAATGCCGCAGCCACTATGAATAGATGAGTAGATGCCACGAATTTACGCAGTCTGTAATTTACGCGAAAGTACTGACAGTACTACTGAGAATGTGGTTATTAATTAGTACAGATTTTTCTAACTTTTGTTTTCTAATTACTGACAGATTTTGAGAGAGATTCCTTGAAATTTATGCCGATAAAAGAAGCTGGAAAGCAGATTAAATAAAACGCTTAGAAGTTTAGGACAGAGGTGAGCTGAAATCAAATGGAGCGCCAATAGGTTGGCGGTGATCAATCCATCTTGTCTAACCAGGTCGTAGCATTTGCGATGTTCATAATGTGATTCGTTTCTTATGAAATACAGATTTGTAAGATACCAACTTTATAATTATCGAAGCACTGACACTAGAGGAGTATTATCTCCGACACCTCCTACATATATATATATATATATATATAGTAAGGGTAAATT